AAAAAAAACAGGCTGGTGTGGTGGCTCACGCCTGTAATCTCAGCACTTTGGGAGGTGGGTGGATTGATTGCCTGAGCTCAGAAGTTCAAGACCACCCAGGGAACATGGTGAAACCCTGTCTCTACTAAAAATACAAAAAAATTAACTGGTGTGGTAGCGCGTGCCTCTAGCCCCAGCCACTTGGGAGGCTGAGGCAAGAGAATCGCTTGATCCCCAGTGGCGAAGGCTGCAGTGAGCCGCAACTATACCACTACACCCCAGCTTGGGCTATGGAGTAAGACTCTGTCTCAAAAAAATAAATAAATAAACCAACACAACTATGATCTGAAATGCTGCATTTCAAAATATGTGTTTTTCCCCCAAAGAAACATATCAGTGGTTTGCTGGGAAGGACACAGGGGTGGAGGGTGACTTGTCATATATGCTTATTGTGATTTTGAAATATAATTTAAAAACCTTGATGGGGTATTATTGCCTGTCGCCCAGGCTGAAGTGCAGTGGTGCAATCATAGCTCACTACTGTAGCCTTGAACTCTTGGGTTCCAGCAGTTCTCTCACTTCAGCGTCAAGAATAGCTAGGATTATATGAGCCGCCATGCCTGGTGTTATACAACATATTTTTTGGAAAACGGTTCTATTGCTTATCAAGTATGAAAACTGAAGCAATTTAATGTTGTCAGTATCTGGGTACTACTTTCTTTGAGCTTTAAAAAAAACTGTGTAAAACACATAAAATTTACCATTTTAAACTGTAGAATTCAGTGACATTTAGTACATTCACAATGTTGTGCAGCCATAACTACTATCTAATCCAGAAGATCTTCATTGCCCCAAAAGGGTACCTTGTACAGGCTAGCAAGCTTAAAATTTTGATAGTATTAATACTTTCTGTGAGACAGGGCTCTCTGGAGTGCCATCACCATGGCTAATAAAAGGAAAACAAAAGAGCTCTCTCTAACATAGATCAGGTTCCTAATTCATGTCATTTGTGAAACACCTAGAAACTGAGATCCATGAAATAAACACAGGGAGAAGTCTACGACAGAAACAGCCACAGAAACATAAGTGAAGGAACAAGTAGTACATCATTATCAACTTAAGAAAAACCGGTAGGAGAAAGGGTCTGAGTATAGATAAGACTCATACAATAAGAAAATAACGTAAGAAACACTTATTTACTTGTGGGGTCTTGGGGAAACCTGACAACCAAGGAAAAGCCACCTTGCTTCAGTTATCAGTATGACCTTGGTCATATCCTGTGCATCTGCCTAGTCCTCAGCATTTTATTTCTCTGACAAAAGTTAAAGGCAAGAAGCACTTGACACTAAAGGAGTCTCTCAGGACAGCCCGGAAGCTAGGGATATTTTCACTCTATGTTCAGAAGCCAGAGCAATGGTTCTTATATCTCTAAACCTGAAAGAGACAGAAGTTATGATCTTCAATTGGTTCACTAAGAAAACTAGAGTCTCAGCTGGAAGTGGTGGGTCACACTGTAATCCCAGCACTTTGGGAGGCTGAGGCAGATGGGTGGATCACCAGAGCTCATGAGTTCAAGAGGACCAGCCTGGCCAACATGGTGAAACCCTGTCTCTACTAAAAATACAAAAACTTAGCCAGGCACGGTGATGGGCCCCTGTAATCCCAGCTACTCAGGAGGCTGAGGCAGGAGAATTGCTTGAATCTGGGAGGTGGAGGTTGCAGTGAGCAGAGATTGCACCATTGCATGCCAGCATGGGTAACAAGAGTGAAACTCTGTCCAAAAAAAAAAAAAAAAAAAAAAAAAAAAAAAAAAGAAAAGGAAACTAGACTCTCAGAGGCTTTTTCTTCTGATAACTGATCCTTCTCCTTCATAACCACATTCCATTAGTATCCACAGTGATCTCAGCTCACTGCAAGCTCTGCCTTCTGGGTTCAAGTGATTGTCCTGCCTCAGCCTCCTGGGTGGTAGCTGGGACTACAGGTGCGTGCCACCATGCCTGGCTATTATATTTGTATTTTTAGTAGAGATGAAGTTTCACTATGTTAGCCAGGCTGGTCTCTTTCAATATTTCTATGTGTTTCAAAAATTTCAAAATAAAACATTAGAAAATGTTATCTTTAAATATGTATATAGAAAATTCTACAAGAATACACTGTTAACCATTAAGCCTATGGAATAACGTGGGGAGAGGAGAGGCAGCATTTTTACAAATTACTTTGTGTGTGACAGGGGAATCTTCTTCTGTCACCCAGGCTAGAGTGCAGTGATGCAAATGATCATAGCTCCCTGCAGCCTCAAACGCCTGGGCTCAGGTCATCCTGCCTCAGCCTCTCGAGCAGCTAGGACTTTAGGCATGTACTACCATGACCACCTAATTTCCTTTCTAAATTTTTTGCACAGACAGGGTTTCACTGTCTCAGGGTTTCCAGGGTTTCTTGGATTCCTGGCCTCAAACAATTTTCCTGTCTCGGTCTCCCCAAGGGCTAGGATTATAGGTGTAAGCCATTGTTCCAGGCCGCTATATAATTACTTCTTTAAGAATCTACTTCTATGAGAATTAGAATCTCAAATTCTCCTCCTGGGTGTAAACATTTTATAAATTTCATTTCTTAATGAAATCTCCAGCAAGCTTCTGGGCTGTTCCAGCGTGAACTGGGTGCTTTCTAGGCTTGCCTTGCCACTAATGCTCAGGGCTCTCCCTTACCGGCCTAGGGATTCCTTTCCTTCCTTCCTCGTTTTGGATCCTGTTTCAGCAATTCAGTGTCTCCCGTTTTCTGATTTACTTTCACAGAGTAAAAGTATCCTATAGTAGATACTGTGAGAAAGGGCAGGCAGGAGGTACATTTTTAAAACATCATAGGCTATTGGGCGGGCCCAGTGGCTCACATCTGTAATCTCAGCATTTTGGGAGTCCAAGGCAGGCGGATCATGAGGTTGGGAGATAGAGACCATCCTGGCTAATCCCATCTCTACTAAAAATACAAAAAAATATTAGCCGGGCATGGTGGCACGCACCAGTGGTCCCAGCTACTAGGAAGGCTGAGGCAGGAGAATTGCTTGGATCCAGGAGGCGGAGGTTGTGGTGAGCTGAGATTGTGCCACTGCACTCCAGCCTGGGCGACAGTGAGACTTCATCTCAAAAAACAAAAATTAAAAAAGGCCAGACGCGGTGGCTCATGCCTGTAATTCTAGCACTTTGGGAGGCCGAGGTGGGTGGATCACCTGAGGTCAAGAGTTTGACACCAGCCTGACCAACATGGTGAAACCTCATCTCTTAAAAAAATAAATAAATAAAAATTAAAAAATTGTAGGCTATTAATCTAACAACTATTTTGGTTAGGTGTAGAATTCTAAATTAGAATAGTTCTCCTTCAGAATCATCTTATTTTAATGATGCTAAATGACTAAGTCTATTTTCCTGTGTTGTCTACTTGCGATTCAACCTGGAACTATCTTGCAGGTCTTGGTAATTTTTTGGAGTTATTTCAATATTCCATCCTCTCTACTTGTTCTGTTCACTCTTTTTGAAATTCATGATTTGGATATATGACTTGGGTAGATTTCTGGGAATGTTCTCTTTTTCTTGCCAGAGGTATTAACAATGCTACATTTTTGGTAGTTTTCTTTGCCCTGAAAAGGTACTATTAATTCTGATTTCTGTTTATTTCAGTCTCCAAAGTAGAGGCCTACCTCCAGAGAGTGGTCACCCTTAATTGTGCACACATGCCACTAAAAAGCTGCCTGGAAGCCCTGTGACAGTAGATGGGGTCCATCTGCTGTGGGCTTAACTAGATGCAGTTTTCCCAAACTTGCCTGCTTACTGAACTTGTTCAACATATATATTCAGATTTTCTTTTTTTTTTTTTGAGCTAGGGTCTCGCTCTATTGCCCAGGCTGGAATGCAGTAGCATAATATCAGCTCACTGCAAGTTCTGCCTCCTGGGCTCAAGCATCCTCCCACCTCCGTCTCCCATGTAGCTGGGACTAGAGGCACATATCACCACGCTCAGCATATTTTCCTATTTTTTGTAGAGATGGGGCTTCACTATATTTGCCTAGGCTGTTCTCGAACTCCTGAATTTAAGCAATCTACCAGCCTCTGCCTCTCAAAGTGGTGGGATAACAGGCGTCAGCCACCACAGCCGGACTATATTCAGATTTTGAGCCTCAGAATCATGACGTCTAGAGAATGGCCCAGAATGTGAGGTCGACTCTCATTTTGAGGAAAAATTGATAGCCGAATAAGTATTTTTTCCCTATTTAAAAATTTTCAGTTGGGTATGGTGGCTCATGCCTATAATCCCAGAACTTTGGGAAGCAGAAGTGGGTAGATCACTTGAAGCCAGGAGTTTGAGATCAGCCTGGGCAACACAGCAAAACCCTGTCTCTACAAATAATATAAAAATTAGCTAGGCATGGTAGATTGCATGCCTGTAATCCCAACTACTCATAAGCGTGAGGCACGAGAATTGTTTGAGCCCAGGAGGCGAAGGCTGCAGTGAGGCGAGACCATGCCACTGCACTCCAGGCTGGACGACAGAGTGAAACCTCGTATCACGAGGAAAAAAAAAAAAGTAATACAGAAACTAGCTGGGCATGGTGGCATGTGCCTATAACCCTAGCTTCTCAGGAGGCTGAGGCAGGAGAACTGCTTGAACCCGGGAGGTAGAGGTTACAGTGAGCTGAGATTGTACCACTGTGCTCTAGTCTAGGTGACAGAGCATGACTCAGTCTCAAAATAAATAAATAAATAAATCTTTTTACTTGCAAAATATTACATGGCTGACAAGTTCATAAAATATTAACATGCAATTTAATGAAAATATTAATATACAATATCATAAGCCCCAGTTCAGGAAAGAGAACAGTACCAGCAACCACAAATCCCTAAGAGGTAAGTAATGGCAAGCCATAGTAATATTTAAATAATGCTAGCCAGACTGACAATCCTGTCCTAAGAATAGTCCAAAGACATAGCTAGAGCTCACTAATTCTGCACCTTCCACCCACACAGCCAGAGGAAACTCTTCTGATCTCTGTGATAAGCATCTTCTTCTTTTCCTTATGGTTTTTGCACTTATTTATGCATCCTTTAATAAACACCTAAATACATTCCTTGCTGTCTGAGCAAAATCTGTTCTGAAAACACTGTGAATCATAAATTTTCAGGTAGGGGAACTTACACTGCATTAATTTAAATGGGAAAAGTAATAATGCCATCCAAAGCCTCTCATCAATTTCTCTCTAAATTACCAAACCACTTTACTAAAATAAGTATCCACACCATGGATTTCTGCATAACCCAAGACTTTCATCTATTTATATAATTTTTTTGTTGGCAACAGTCTCGCTCTGTTGCCTGGGCTGGAGTGCAGTGGTGTGATCTCGGCTCACTGCAACCTCTACCTCCCAGGTTTGAGCAATTCTTGTGCCTCAGCCTCCCGAGTAGCTGGGAGTACAGGCATGCGCTACCATATATTTTGTATTTTTAGCAGAGACAGGGTTTTGCCATGTTGGCCAGGCTGGTCTTGAACTCCTGGTCTCAAGTGGTCCACCTGCCTCAGCCTCCCAAAGTGCTGGGAATTACAGGCATGAGACACTGCGCCCAGCGAACACAAGACTTTTTTTTTTTTGAGACGGAGTCTTGCTCTGTTGCCCAGGCTGTTCAGTGGTGCAATTTTGGCTCATTGCAGCTGCCGCCCCTCCAGGTTCCAGTGATTCTCCTACCTCAGCTCCGGGGTAGCTAGGATTACAGGTGCCTGCCATCATGCCTGGCTAATTTTTTTATTTTTAGTAGATACAGGGTTTCACCATGTTGGCCAGGCTGGTCTCAAACTCCTGACCTCAGGTGATCCGCCTACCTTGGGCCGCCCAAAATGCTGAGTTTTCCTTACAGTCTTTGAGACACTAATAGCTGTCTTTAATGGAACATGCTAGGTCTGTCATAAGAGACTCATTCTCTGTGGTGAACATTTGGGAACTCAGAGTAGGTGGGAAAAGAGTCTGATCACAGATGGCCTGTCACTCAGCTGTGCCTTTGGATAGGGTACCTTCTCAGTTATTGGGTGAATGTGCTGGAACATTTTGAGAGGAGTAATTGAGGTTTGCTGGATGTACTGTGGATTGCTTCTGCTTCAGACTCGGAAAGGCAAGAGGGGACAACCCAGCGTAGTACAATAAACCCTTTTGTAGGAGGCCACCAGGCCATGGTAGACTGAGTGGTATTTTCCCGGACAGTGTGCTGGGGACAGGAGGAGGGAAGGTGCATAAACACTGTTAGAGCTACTGTGAGAAATAAAAGTGATGACACAAGAGTGCCTAGAATATCTGATACCCAGGCTGAATTTGACAACCAAACATTCTTTGACCAACACCTAGCACACATATATGTAGAGAGAGTTAAAGACAGAACAAAATCACAAATACTCTCTATGAAGAAGAATTACCATTTTTTGAACATGCCAAGTACCAGGCTGGGCACAGTGGCTCAGGCCTATAATCCTGGCACTCTGGGAGGCTGAGGCAGGAAGATCACTTGAGGCCAGGAGTCCAGGGCCAGCCTGGGCAAAATAGCAAGACCCTGTCTCTACAAAACAAACACCCCCCATCCCAACCACCACACACCAAAACATGCCAGGGGCTTCATATATTTTCTCATTTACTCTTCATAATTACCTGAGTCTCCCTAAATCCACAATTGAGTACCACCTTCCTTTAAAGTAAAGTAGAAAAAGCCTTCCGTGACATACTGGTGGGCTCTAAAGGCTGACATTTATTCTGGGTTCCCTGCAGACTCTCCCCTTACCATTGTTGAGGGAATCTGCACTCCCAGGGCTGTGTTGCCTGGAGACCAACTCAGTCCCCGTTTTCCTCAGCTCTGTGTTTTCATTGTACCGTCTTTTCCAGTAGTTGAGTTCTTCACGATCTGATTCCTGACAGCGCCGCAGAACCGCCATGGAGCGCCTTGTTTTCTCTACCATTTCCATAATGCAATTCAGTGCCTGAGTCAGAAAGGAGGGCAGGCAGAGATGAGATGAAAGCATTCAAACAACAAACAGGGAAAATCCAGGACAGGCCAACCCAATATAAGGAATTCAGGTTCCTGATGGTTTAGGAATATCAAGTTCACATTTGAAACCCTTTATTGCCGTCTGTTTCTCCATCAGCAGGAAGGACACTGGTGTTGAGGTTGATTGACATACCTATCGAGGACAATAACTACCAGGGCTTCCAGTGTTTGGACAAAACCAGAGATGCATGGCCTTCTGACCAACTGTCTATGATTTCATGTTGTTGCAGCATTTGTTGCATCCCTAGGGGCTGCCACTCTCTGTATGTTTGCTGCGGCTGAACCATAACATAAGGCATACACAGATTTCTATAGAAATTATAAATTTTGATGAGATGAGGAAGACTGGTATCTTTCAGAGTACAAAATAATTTTGGAATATAAACACTTTTGGGGGGTTGAATTACCTAGATGTTTGTTACTAACCTGTGTTACAAAACTAGGAAACATGAATATGTGGGCTAAAAAACAATTCTCTTTACTACAGAAGGAGCAGAATTGAAAAAATTAAAAAGAAAGTTTCACCGGGCGTGGTGGCTCAAGCCTGTAATCCCAGCACTTTGGGAGGCCGAGGTGGGTGGATCACGAGGTCAAGAGATCAAGACCATCCTGGTCAACATGGTGAAACCCCGTCTCTACTAAAACTACAAAAAATTAGCTGGGCATGGTGGCACGTGCCTGTAATCCCAGCTACTCAGGAGGCTGAGGCAGGAGAATTGCCTGAACCCAGGAGGCGGAGGTTGCGGTGAGCCGAGATCGGGCCATTGCACTCCAGCCTGGGTAATAAGAGCGAAACTCCGTCTCAAAAAAAAAAAAAGTTTCTTTTGATAAACAATTAACAAATGCAAAATAAATCCCATCTTGCTATGTTGCCTAGACTAGACTTGAAGTCTTGGCTACTGGGCTTAAGAGATCCTCCTGCCTTAGCTTCCCGAGTAGCTGGGACTACAGGCATGTGCCAGTACGCCTGGCTACAGACCTTTGTTTTTAACCCTTATATATTACATGACTTTATTTGGTTTCTGACTTGAAGTGATCATCCCATCATAAAAATATGGGAGTGACTTTGTAATTCCTTAGCTGGGGGAGTACTAGCTAAACCAGCTTTTATTAAAAGCAAAGGATGTCATGGCTATGGTTATGTTCACTTCAAGCATGCATGCCACATTAATTAATGGTAGCATTAAGAATCAAAAGTAGGCTGGGTGCACTTACTCACACCTATAATCCCAGCACTTTGGGAGGCTGAGGGTGGGCAGATCATTTGAGGTCAGGAGTTTGAGACCAGCTTGGCCAACATGGTGAAACCCCAGCTCTACTAAAAATACAAAAATTAGCTGGACATGGTGGCATACACCTGTAATCCCAGCTACTCTGGAGGCTGAGGCAGGAGAATTGCTTGAACCTGGGAGGTGGAGGTTTCAGTGAGCTGAGATCGCACCACTGCACTCCATCCTGGGTGACGGAGAGAGACTCCATCTAAAAAGTAATAAAGAGTTAGGGAAATTAAACACTATAAGATTCTTACATGGTCAAGATGTTTCCATTCATCAGCCCATTCCCTTTCTGTCAAACGATGATCTACCAACTCATCTTGATAGCCTCCATTTAGACCTATTAGAAATCAGAGATTAAATTTGAAGATAGCAGGGAAGGCACAATAGAATCAAATTCTACCAAGTAAATACACACACATTCACAATAACTTTAAACGCACTACTAAGGCAATGATTCACAATAGGGTGGGGGGGGCCCACAAAATGACATTATAACCAACAAAGGATCACTATATTCAGATTATATAAATAACTCCAACAAATCAATTGTAAAACACAAAATAGCCCTAAAGAAAAACAGGTAAAAGAAATAAACAGGTTATGTCATACATGGCATTTCATATCTAACATATTGGAAAAATAAAAATGTCACATACTACTAAGTATTGGCAAGGATGTGGTGCAATGTGAATAATTAACCACCCAAACTAGTGTGTGTACTGGTACAACCACTTGGAAACAGCTTAATATTATCAATAGTTCAACAAAAATTTTTTTAGTGGGGAAGGTTTTGATATATACTGAAATTTCTAGGAATGGAACAACTGTGTGAATTAAGCATATACCAATAGAACTGTCTACTATTTTAAAGAACTCATGTCACGTACAGCAACAGTGCTTAGTCTTTGAGTCATTAACACAACACACCTATTACCAGTCTGAATTTATAGGTGACTAGAAAGTATTAGTGTTAGAATCTGTTAATTTCAGTATATACTGAGTTTTTTGTGATCCTTACAATCTGTCAAAAAAGGTAGTAATAAAAGCCAGGTGCAGTGGGGCATGCCTATAGTCCGAGCCACTGAGGAGGCTGATGCAGGTGGATATGTTGAGTCCAGGAGTCCAGCTTGGGCAATATAGCAAGACCCCATCTTTTAAAAACCCACAAATTTGAAAAAACGCAGTTTTTAGCATACTTCTTTCTCAAGTCAAACTGGCAAAAAAAATGTACAGAAGAAACCATTAGCAAGCCAGTTTTTTTCCCCCCCACTGTGCTGTTTCCAACCAAAGCAAGCCAGTTTTTAATAGATAAGAGAGAGGCATAAGAGTGACAGGGGTTGAACACTAGGCTAGGTATCGTAACATATTGCCAGTGCATCCTAGCCTTGGGTATAAGACAACTGAGGTATGAATTTTGTCTCTGCCAGTTATTAGCTATTGATTTTGGCCACATTTGCTTCATCTTACATCTGTAAAAAGGGATAACAATTGCCTGGGACTCCTGTAAGGATAAAATCAGACAATGTAAGTACAACACAATCTAAGTGGTAGCTATGACTCAGTAAACATTGGTGCTGAGAACACCATGGGGCTATGGCCTTCCCTATTCAGCTACCACCCCACTATGTGACACCAGGGGTCCCACTGTAGTCAAGTGTCTGAAAGATGCTAGTGAGCCTAAGTCAGAGGAAGTGAGGGCAAATATGTTATAATTTCTTACTCCACAAGGTAACCCACAAACGGAAATGTAGGGAAACCCTGGAAGCTGGTAGCCCTTTGGTTCTGTGCCCTGACAGATGCTCAGCAGTTATACTCCGAAGAGCCTTATGCAGAAAATGTGTATGAGTACATGACAAAACACTGTCCAAAACCAGAAGACGTTTGTTAAGGTTTCTTTTGTTTCTTCCTAAATTTAATGGTTTCTGGTATTCCATGTGCCAGGTATTCCAAATGGAACAACAACCCAGCCCAAGGGGGAGTGTTATCTCCATTTAGAATACTCTTCAGAGGCTCAGAAAGCCCAAGCAACTTGCATGAGATCACACAGCTAGTTAGGATGCAGAGCTAAGATTTTATGCTCACCTCCTAACCTAAACACCCATGGACTTTCACCTACAAGGTAAAATCTTGCATCTTTCTTGCCTAATTTTAAAACCTTTTGAAAAATTTTTTTGAGGCAGGGTCTCATTCTGAGACCCAGGAGGGAGTGCAGTGGCACCATCATGGTTTATTGCAGTCTTGACCTCTTGGGCTCAAGCAACTCTCCTGGCCTTTTTTTTTTTTTTAGACGAAGTCTCTCTCTGTTGCCAGACTGGAGGGCAGCGGCGTGATTTTAGCTCACTGCAACCCCTGCATCCCAGGCTGAAGCACTTCGCTTGTCTCAGCCACCCAAGTAGCTGAGATTATAGATGCGTGCTACCATGCCCGGCTTATTTTTGTATTTTGAGTAGAGACAGGGTTTCACCACGTTGGTCAGGATAGTCTTGAACTCCTGACCTCAGGTGATCCACCCCCTTCAGCCTCCCAAAGTTTTTTTTTTTTTTT